GGGTCGTTTTTTGGGGGTGGGGGTGGGGGGGGGGGAAAGGGGGGGGGGTGCCCTGGGGGGGTGGGGGGGGGGGGGGGGGGATGTGTATTTCAAGAACGCCTCATGCATGTGCGCTTGTGTATGTTATATGGCTTGTGTGGGCAGTTAGGATTACTCAAAGACGGCGCCATATTGAGGAGAAGCATATTGTTGGCAGAAAGGCTAAAGAAACAGGTTCCAGTGAGGTTTTTTATTTCCTCTCTAAGCAGAAACTCATTCAAATTCAATGTGTCCTTTTATATTTTAGGTTTTTATATAAAGAAACACAGCATAGACTAGCTGAACCGAAAGAAGTTACTCATCGAACATCGAATAAAATACACCTGAGCTGATATTAAAAGTTAAATACGGCCCCTCTTACCTCGTTACTACTTTATTTTGACTATTGGATTTTTTTTTTTTACTGAAAGTGGATTTATTGAATGTTGAGCAAAATTAAATAAAAGAATGGACTAGATGGCGGAGAGAGGAGACAGAATGAAATTAAATCTGAGAAAAATGGCAGTGTTCTTGCCAAGCTTCGGCTCAGCGAGCTGGAACACAGCCTGGACCTGTAGGAAATTGTAAAACGAGTTGGTTCAAAGATCTCAAAGGTTTGACGAGCGTGTGGATGTGCAAAGTCAACAAAGACTTATAAACCAACAGTGAACCTTTAGGGTGAATTCTAAAATAATGGACTGTTTGGGAGTGGGGAGGGGGGGGGACCAGCAGAGTATTGTGTCCTTCCATTTAGCTCTACATTGATGGCAAGAGGCTCTTATCGTTTTAATGTTGCATGGTATAACATGAAAAAGCTAGAAGGTTTTTTCTTTGCCTAATTAGTGCGGGAAAATGGAAAATGACTGATTGCCCTGTGCTTAGTCTTACATGAACAAGTAAAACTTTTTGTCTTGTTTAATAATTACAGTTTCATTTATTTCTTTATGTATTTTGAGGACAATATTGTCGAAAATATATTACTTGATATAAAATGTAAATAATTCATGAAAGCTTTCTTAATCTTCCATGGAACTGATTACATCCCTTTTTTTCTTTTTACAGTGTTTTTTTAATGTCACTCTTTTAAATTATCACAATCTGACAACTTAAAGAATGAAAAATTAAAGGTGATAAAGAGGGCAGGTAATGAAGAATTAGGAGCAAAAAAAAAAAATCCAGAGTTTTTAAAACCTGTGCAAGACGGGAGCCGAAGCAGGTGTTTGAGATTTTGTACTTCACTGCTGTTAATGATGCAAACCTGAATCCAATCGATTTTTACCACTCTGTTATCATAAATCATCAGCCTGAGTGTGTGTGTGTGTGTGTGTGTGCGTAGGTTACTGTGTTGGAGCCATGAGTGTGTATGGCCTAAATCACCAGACCAATGCGACACTAGAACGCAAGTTACTATCTAATTACCTACTGCTGGTGCTAGATGGAATCTGCACCGTTACATTCATCAGGGTCACAGATGCACAAAAATCTCAGGGCAGTTTTCTAAATTTATCGCACGCCTGTATGTACGAATGAAAAATGCTGCTTGATGGTGATAAAGACAAAAACGTTTTTGCTCTATTTTGTGAGTCTAAAATGGAAAAATTTTATACTGGATTCCTAAATATACAAAGAGGTCTCATTAAAAACAACTGAATGTTAAAAGCACAGAGCAACAGTGTCAACAGTGGAGGTTCACCTTTCAACACTATGAAGCTTACCATGAAGACAAAGCAACAATGTGGTGGTTTAGTTTAAAGATTTTTCGTGTTAGAACGGTCCAGTCAAAGTTGGGATACAAGTCCAATAGGCAATTTGTGGCCATTCTTGGAAAGTTGGTCTTCACAGAAGCTGTCCCTCCAATTTGACATCTACGTCCTATATCTACCAGCTACGCACATCCAGTCCAGCCCTACAAAGAAAATCAAGAAACTATTGATTTCAGAGATACAGAAAACAAAAAAATCATCTACCAGATGGGTTTAAAGCTTCAAAACCCACTGGTTCTATGCCGATTCATTTTGTTGTCTCTTTTTGCGGTTGTTTTTATTTTATATATATATATATATATATATATATATATATATATATATATATATATATATATATACACTTCGTCACAAACGTGAACATCAGAACACCCTGTCTGAGCCCGGATGCCCAGCATCTGATTAATGTTCTCTCAACAGGACACCCGCTGGGAGTTCAAAGACATGTTCGCACCAGTCTTCACACCTAAACTTAGCACCACGTACTGAGTGCATCGCATGGACATGGCTTAGAGTGAGGCTAAGACTAAGGCGCAACAAGCGAGCCGTTTCCTGTGCAGAAACAAAGCCAGAACAGAGGGGAGAAACCCAACAAGCTAACTGGCACAGGAGAGTCATAAAGAATAATGAAGAACAATGAGTATATGTTGGGAGAGGTGAATGGTAGCTGAGGGCATTCTTTCATTTTCAGGTAACCAAGGAGATGAAACAAAAAAGGAACAGTGGTCCGTATTAAGCAAGACAAAGACCTGGAAATGAAATGGGAAATTGTCTGCAAGAAGACTTGCACAAAGAAACATGTGGTGGAGTGGAGTTAAAGTGAAGGTTCTTCCTGATGAGGTAAAACTTAAATCAGGACATGTTTAAGGTTTTGTCTGGATGTTTTCTTTACTATTCCAGAGGGATCTCCTTTTCAGGTATTGTTCTTTGGGTATTATTTAGATTGTTCATGCCATTTCTTCCTTTGCCCCCAAGTTTTCATGTTCAACATTACGTGCCCATATTTGTCACTGACTCCAAAGAAATGGAAATCAATTGTGCTTTAGTTCTCAAGGCCACAAAAATCTGACATTAAAATCATATCTTTTCTGTTGCAATGAGTTGCAATGAGTACAATTACCTCATAACTTGCATGTATTTTAGTGGTATTTAGTGTGATAGACCAAAACAATGTGACGTAGAAGTTTGAAATGGTTGACTATTGTCTGGTGTCGGCACATGGCAGCCTGTGGCTTCTCAACATAACCCAATTGTTGTCATAGAAAAGAGTCAGAAAGCTGTGTCAATTTGTGTGAAATTGTTATTTTGAGCAAAACGTATCAAGGTTTAGTTGGTGAGAAGCTAATTGATAGTTATGGATCGTAGTTTGATGTACTTTGGCTGTAAGTTACAGAAGTCTGTAGCTCTTCTGCAGGCGGCAACTTTGAGTATTTTTTTTAAAGATACAAACTTTCAGGAACTGTTCTCATCTTCTCCGCCAACACATGGGGGGGGCGGGGTGGGAATCACTCTACTCCACTTCATCAGTCACAAAGCTTTATAAATGTAAAAAAAAAAAAAAAAAAAAAGTTTGAGTAAAAGATTTAATAAGAGTAGTTGGAAGGGATTTCCATCTGTGTGTATTTGTCTCCATGGAAGAAAGTCTTGTTTTCCTCCTTGCCTTTTACAGCAATTGATTTTGGTTTGAGTGGCAGCCGAAAGGAAGCAGCACCTCAGCTTGCTGCTGTCAGCTTAGGTGAATAACTGCCTCTCCTCCCCCTCTCTGTATTTCTCTCTCTCTCTCGCCATCTCTCCGACATCCCTCGCTTTCTTTCGTGCCACTACACACTCCATCACCCTCGCTGACACCCAAACAATACAGATGCACAACTGTTCTCCCAGTCATACTTCAGCTAGTCAAAGCCATTTATGATATCCCTCCCCGCACTCCCCTTCTGTTCAGACATTAGCTTCGATGAATAAGCATTTTATTTCTTAATAATGAAAAAAGGGGAAAAGGCTGTCGCTCTGATATACAGAGAAAAAGAGCGGTAAATAAAATAATGCATCAGAATGCAGACAAATCTGGGGGAGGGCGGGGGGGTAGAATGATTGGAAGCCCCTCTGTCAACACTCCACCAGAGAAAACATTTCACAATTGCGCGGCGTCGGCGGGGCGGCTGTATACCTTGTCAGGAGAAGAGCAAGAGGGGGCGAAGAGTGAAATCCGCTTACAGTTGGACCGCTGTGTTTCCATGGCGACTGTCTTTGCATCGAATCATTAGAAGAAAGATGCTTGAATTTCCCGACACTTCCCCGGCTTTCTCTCTTCAAGTGCATTCTTTCGTTCTTCTAGGGAGCTCAGTGGCTGGCTGTCTCCTTGCGTGTGACATGAAAACAGATACTTGCACAACACGACATTTCTTCAAGCGTCTTTATGACCCCTGGTCGTCTCGGGGGACTCAAGAACCTCCAAACTTTGGATCAAAACAAGAACCTAAGGTTCCCTTTCACTTAATGAGCTGCCAGCTAGTCCTTATTTGATCCCCACCTGATTAGTGGATGATGATGAAAGCAGACAGTCTTACATGACACATCCTTTTAATTATCTTTTGATCATATATGCTTTTGATTCAAAAATAAGTTTAGATGGCCAAAGCTTCCTGGGGTTATGTTGAAGTAAAATTTGCTGCACTAAATTATGTTTCAATGATCTTCAGACTTTGGCCAGATGTTCACTTTAGCCTGTTTGCTAGGACAAACAGCTAAGCTAGTTCCTTCGGCAGTACAGACTATTCTGGTTACAACGTGGTGTTATCTACTTTCAGAAAGCTACTAAATGCAGCATAACTTTCAATTTATTTCTTTAAGAATATCCAACTCGGCACAAATGGCAACAAACTCTTCTATAAACTCGCAACTCACGTCAACTGAACGTCTTCGCAAAGAAAGCAGTTAGCTAAAGACGCAGGCTAATGTTTTGCTTTTGGTTCTCAGTGCCTCTTATAGTTCCGCTTACAGTGTCTTCTGTTGTCTTCGTAGTTAATTTATTGTTGACTAAACCCATAAAAGCGTGTTTGTAGAGGTCTATTATTTTAGCCTAATGCGTTGTTGTTTTTTTAAACTAGGAGTTAACTCTGTGATGATGTGGTCTGTACAGAGAGCTATACAGACGGACAAGGAACTTTAGCAACCAATACAAAATGAAAAAAAAAAAATTGCTGTATAAGATAAATAAACTCTTAGTTTGTTGGCTAACATCACTGTTAACAAACGGTACTTACTTTCTTACTTACCATGATGTTATAATTTGCATCCAAACAGCATATGTTCTTTATTGGCGTACTTTAGCAAGACATGCCTGATTTTAAGACTGCAAGTCTGGCACACCAAGGCCTTACTAGTGTTCGCAAAAATTCAGAATTTTGACTCTAATTGCAACTCGACACCTACTCATTCAAAGGCGCTTGGTCATTCTCGTTAAGCTGTTGTTTGCTCTGAATCATTGCTTTTTAAGTGCGATCGTCTACCGCCTTCATAGCAGAAGTCAAAAGGTTGGCTAAATGCAGCTTTTTGCCTTGGAAACACCTCAGTTTCAGAGCCCTTAGCTCCATTTCGTGCTCATTTCCATGACAACGCTTTATAATATTCATCAGGCATTACCTGGAGATTACCGACTGCAGTTTTGCAAGAGCATTATTTGGCTGCCGTTTTAAAAATGTATTAAATATTCCCCGACATTTTGACATGTTTCTGTGCAACAGTTATTCTAGATTCAAGCAAGGAGAAGAAGAAAAAAAAAGAGAAACGCACAAGAAAGCAGAGAGTGTAGTATTATTCCAAGGCATCATTTGTGGCATAGGGGCAAGACTGATTGTGGGTGCTAAAGTGAAAATGCTGTAACCATGACATAACTGATCACAAATAGGCAACATGACTGCTTTGAATCTATTTGCAGCCCCTTTCCTCTTCTCTCCTTTTTTTGAACCGAATGTGTGGGAGAGTACCTCTGTTCCACATCTCTTGTAGCAGAAATATTTGGACTTGGAGAGCAAATAAGAGGCAGAAGGAAGGAAACGTGAGAGATGCCCTATGCAATCCTTCGCTGGAACACGGCGAGCGCTCGACCAATGGCGGCTCACGCATGGAGGGTTTCCACGGCTACCCCCAATCTTCCTCATCCTCAGGTCTCCCAAGCTCCCTCCCCTCCCTGTGTCTTCCCTTCTGTTCACATCTTCTCTGCCTTGTAAAAATAAATAAATAAAAAGGTAAATGAACACAAGATGTCACCTGAAATGAGAACAATTCGTGTGTTTTTTTTTTTTGTTTTTTTGTTTTGTTTTTTTCCAAAGATGTGCCTGAGTAAATAAACAAATCTTGTTCTTGTCGATAATGTTTTCATCTTGCGCAGTTTTCCAAAGTGCTGGGCTAATCTCAGCATCTTAACAGTTTTAATTGACTCATAAATTTAGTCCATCTTGGAATTCTATTCGTTTGTAGATAATACTTTGTGAAATGTTGTCCTTATTCGTAATTTCAGGACTTTGACATAAACATCCAAAAGAATTGATTAGTTTTGTAGCCATTTTTCTGCACAGCTTTCCCCGCACTTACAGCTGCTTGGCGTCATCCAACAACAGAACCCAGAGCAGGTCACGCAACACAAGAGAGAGCATGTGGCAACAAATTTAGTCTCTCTTGTGCTGTGGCTGTCAATGCAAAGGGTGCAAAACACTTGCATTGTTGGAGAAAATACAGTGTTGTTAGCTCAACCAAAGACCATATGTTAATGCAGGTGAGTTAATCAGGGGACTGGGAACAGCTGTGGAGGAGAGCAAGAGGCACATCGAGGGAAGGAGAAAAAAATAACACAAAGGAAGCTGAACGAGGCTCAAGACAACTACCAAACAAGGGGGAAAAATACTAACACTGATGTAATAATACTAAGAGCAATAAGAACAGAACACAATACTAAACTAAGAAACTAAACACAAATTAATAAACTATTTCGTTTGGATCACTTCTGAGTGATCCAAACGAAATCCAAAATGTAAACACCCAAGAATTATAACTGTTATAGCATTTTTGTTTTTTTTTTAAGTTATGTTTAACGTTGAAGCTTGCAAAAAAAAAAAAAAACTTAAATGTCTATTTAGAAGAATCAGTCTGGCAAACATTAATGGCCTATGAGCATCTTGAGGAGATTATCCAATTTTGTGATGGAATATTCCACCCACGATCCCGCTTGGCTAACGTCTGGGGACAACTGGAGCTGTTCAGTATTCCAACGCACATGGAAGTAGGAGCAATGTTTTGTTTTGGTGATTTTTAAATGTTGAATTTTCCAATGCGCAACGTGATCCAATGAATGCAGGCGCTCGACGGCAACTTTAGCCGGGCTGTTTGTGCCCTCGGGGAAATTCAGAACTCTCCCAAGTTTCAAAAGGCACAGTATTACAGATGCGAAATTTTAAACTATCCATGTTTATATTGGCATATCTTTGATGTTAGATGAAAAGTGCTGTGCAGTAAGTGATTAAATGTACAAAAAAAAAAATGTAAGTGATTTTAAGATCCTGTAGCTTAAGGCTGCACACCCTTCGAGGCTTTTTGGTGTTCTTTTATGCAAAAATGATCAACTTGTTAACCAGGACGCCAAATGTTAATTTCCACTATGTGTACACTGGTCTAAACATTAACTTAAGCTATGCTTTAAAAAAAAAGATTGTGATAACTATTGAGTTTTTCCTGTATAGCAAAGCATTTGTTTTGTCTTTGTTGTGGCAAAATGAAATTCCTTTCTCTTTTTTTTCTCCTCCTTTTCACTTTGCATTTTTATGTTTGATATGAGCGCAGGCAGGCGGCCCGCTCAGCTGCTGCGAGAAGTGGCACACTCAGATCATTAATCAGACTCGACGGCGCAGTGGGTAGCAGGCAAGCCACGGGAGAGCACTAATGCATGCAAATGTATACTCGTTTCGGGGGCAGGTTAAGCCAAGGACGGAACCTAACCAGTGGTGGAGGGGGGGTGGGGAGGAACAAAAGCAGAGAGAAAGAGATGAACATATCACAGCGTAGGTGAGAAGCTGCTCTTTGAGCCGTAATGAAATACGAGCGAAGCAGAACTGAATCAGTGCCACACTGGAGAAAAGGTAAAGGATGAAAGTATTACTGGACGTGCTGAGAAAAATCCGCAATTCCTCCTCTCTGATCTTCCAGTTGATGTTCTGTTTTTTTTTTTTTTTTTTTTTTTGTTGTTGTTGTTGCTTTGTATACGACACATTGTCAAAACCTATAGATGATCGCGTCTCATAAAAGCTGCTATTATTCCGTTTCATGAGTGTTTCGTTTCATGAGCGTTGTCAGACATGCATAAGGAAGACATCGTTAAAATGAACAAGTGCAGGTGTCGGGGTTGGTTTTCTGCCAACAGAGGTCAGAACTTAATATTCCATCCTCTATAATTCTATCAGTGTCTGAGCCTCGTTACGGCTTTGGATTGTTGCCTTGGTGGAGATAACCTTACATGACTTTCCGAGATGAACCTCTTGCAAAAGGAGCTTAGGAATGGGAAGTGCCGCGATAACTGTGCCGGTGGGCGTCTGGTTCATCTCAAGCATGCTGGAAACTTAATCTTCTTTAGATTCATTTTTTAATATATTTATATATTTCCCTGCTTTGCCATGTTATAAAGCAGAAAGTTTGAGTCTTTGTGTCATTTCTTAATGTCACAAGCAAAAGAAGTTTCCAAAGAAGATTCTCGCCTCGAGAAGGAATAAGTGGGTAGAAACAACGACCCAATTGAAGGATTTTTATTTATTTACTTATGATTAAGATTTTTATCACACTGGAAGTGTTTGTTTTGGTGTAGCCTCATGTCCTGTGAGTCATTCTCTCGTTTAAAAAAATAATAATACCGTTTTAGATTGTTTGCTGAATGTGTATCGGCAAACAACGATTTTCAGTTTCCCAAGAATTTAAATGTGAGGTGACACATGGCATTGTAACTCTTCAAAATGGGAAAGACAAGACATTTACGTTAAGCAAATGAATGTTGAGAGGTATCTACATATAGTTTCTGCTGTAAATTCACCAGGCGACTGGTGACAGAGGCCATTCATAACGGCTGCATCACGTAACTGAGCGGGGAAGCCTCCCGCAAATAAGCCATATCAAGCTGTGACTATACCTCGCTTGGCATTTCAAAGGGATAACAAGAGCGTGCTGACTTCAACCCTATCATGAATTCTTGGTCCTTTGAAAAAAAAAAACCCACACAGAGACAGCTTAGTGCTTCAAATAGCAGCTAATGTTTCTTATCTTGCCACATTCAGTCTATATAAAATGTCCTGTATGAAAGAAATTTCTAACCCATGAAAGGTCCTGAAACGGGCAAATTTAAGTCGCTTTAATTCTGTCTTAAAGACAAACAGTGGAAAGTATCGAGCAGCTGAGATTAAAGCCTCGTCTTCCGTCAGGGCGTTATCGTGACTGGCTCAAATAAACCCAGATATTCTAGCTTGTCCAATAGAAGGTCATTGCTGTCCCAATTGAAAACTATTCAGATTAGCTGATTAGTTAAAATATGTACACCCATTTCCACACATGAACTTTGTTGAAATGAAAAACCGAAACAAAGAACAACCTGAGGTTATGCAGTTCTGGTGTTTCACATGCGAAACTGTAACTCTTTGACCCAATTTGCCCAGTTTCTTGCTTCTTCATCGCATTCCCACACTTAATGATTGTTTGATGAAAGTTCAATTGGACAAACACGGTCCGTGTTAAATCATTTGGAGCAGATGTCACTTCTATTCAGAAAAAGAAAAACAAAGGTAACAAATTTAAAAGCTGCAATAACAGCAAAAATACGCAAAACATAACTCCTGCAGCATGAGACAGTTATCTTCACGTTTTGGCGAAGTAGCATTTAATAGGGCGTCTGTGTCTTAGCATCGCGATGCTAACGCCAGATAATTCTTTCTTCTCATCTAAAAGAGCTCATCCCAACCTTGTTTGGCAGGATATCAAATTGCAAAGCTTACAGTACCAGGGGCCTAGAAAGGCAGTGCCGGGGCGTTGTTTACCTAAGGCATGGTTTCTTCCTAAACTATTGAGTTTAAAATGTGAAGCAAATATGCAGTGGTGGGTTTGAAGTTTAAGGAAGGCACAAAAAAAAAAAACTTCCAAAGCACATTGTTGGACAATTGCTGTATTTTTTCAGTATGAATTTATATAACCATGACAGATTTTGTTTGTTTGTTTTTTTTTGTTTTGTTTTGTTTTTTACATATCTGGAGGATAAAATATGCTGTATGCGCCCTATAGAATGCTGAGCTTTTGAGAATCAGGCAAACCGGGCATAGGATTATTACATAAGCCATCGTTTGATGATGAGTTTTTGCATTATCTTCACCGTCCTCACAAGCACACAGGATGTTCTCCCCCCTCCACCTCCACCACCAAGAGTCGTCCATTTTACAACAGAATGACACGTTTCTTCTTGATCGTGTGTCAGAAAAAAACAACAACAACAAAAAGAATTAACACAAAGAACGTCTGTGGCCAACAGCTGTCTGCCCTCCATCTGACACCGGAGACTGGTGGGAACCTCTGGCGCTCGGTCGGCTCAGCACGCACTCACACACTTCTGACATAACCACGCGGTTCACACGTTGATTTGTGCACAGGGGGAGGGGGCGACAGATGTCATCAGCCCGACCGAATGTTACAGAGGCCCACAGGACGACGTGCACTCAGGCAAGCGCTCGCTAAAGGCGCATACTTTTATAAAGGTGGCCCGCTGAGTAGGACACAACCTTGGATAAAAGCTCTGGTCCGGGGGGAGTGTTCCCTGAGTGGCCTGTTTGAAAGAGCAGAACGGTGGCCCGTTCACTAAGTGGAGACGACAAATGGGGAAACCCTGATTTGTGAGCCATTATCTCGACAGGTAGACGGAGTTCTGCAACGTTGTGATACAGTCGGGACTCCACACAGCAGAAAATCTAAAACTCAGTAGTTACAATTAAGATAAAATAAACTACGACGGTATAATGGAAGTGATAATTACAAGAAACTAAGTTCTGGGGGGGGGAAAAAAACTTTGAGTTGTTAAAACCCGCATTGAGCTTCCTAGATCTGATTTCGAAAAGGTTAAAGGGATTTAATCTCTGTCGCATCGTGTTTCTACACCAGGGAAAAAGGAAGGGGAGTCACGAATTACTGTTTAAAAGATTCTGTACACTCATCAGTGTAACAGGTAGCCAAATTTTTACCAAGCAAAAAGATATACATATAACTCCACC